ATGAGATACTATGCACTATTCATGAGGATATTATGCACATTCATGGAGATACTATGCACATTCATGGGGATACTATGCACATTCATGAAAATGTTATTCCTAATGTATGATTCTGATTATCTTCTTTTTTAGAGGTTGACGCTAACAAAGGAAAAGACAAGAGATGCTGATTTGAGCCCTGCTGCTCTTATGAGACAACGAATTATCAAAAGAGCTGCATTAGAATTTGAAGATGAAATGTACGGTATCCTTCAATGATGTAGGCAGTCAAAGTTATCTTTGCACGGAGAGTATGTGGGGAGTAGGGGGTCGGGTCGTTTTTATGATATTTTATATCGTAATGGTCATTTACATTTTGGACTAATACTGTACTTGTTTTTAGTTCCATGACTAATTTCATTTCAGTCTTTGTGTTCATCCATGTGTCTGACTGCACATGTATCTTGGACATGCCTTGACCGATCATGTTCAAGCTTACAGCAGATATCTTGAGATATATTTGCAAATGCATACGTTTTGTGATCTCACTCAAAGTGGCTGAATAGCGGCCATTTTAGTGCTAAAAATTCAACTGAATCAAATATTTCTGTCATTCTAGAGCCCGATATCAGTCGTGCGTGAACAAATTTCGTTCAGTCTTAGCACATACATTGTACATTGTGGGATGTCGCTTTGATTTGCAGATTGGATTCAAAAGTGCCACCTGATGAAGCAACCCCTCCTGCAAAATTGCAATATACATGTAGCTCACTGTTATGATATCAGCTTGCCATTACAAACTGTGTTGTTTTCAAAACAGTTAGCTAAATTGCAATACTGCTGGTTCACAGTAATGAATACTGTTATGGAGCTATACCTTGGACATGCCGGGAAGATTATGCTCAAACATCTAACATACATCTTACTGCTTGGGGTATCGGTAATAGATGACCGAGTGATAGCCATTTTAGTGCATCAAAATCAAGTGTTTCTTTGATTCTTACACCGGATCTCAGTCAAGCATGGCACACACATGATGTACCTTGATTTTTCTAATTGTTTCATAATGGCCAAATTTTTGTCCCAGAGTTGTATCTTTTACAGTCATGTTCCAACTTCACAAATACATCATGTTATGCATGCGCATTTATTTCATGATTTGATTCAAGATGGCTAAATGAAATCCATGTTATGGCTTACTTGCGTGTGTGCCAGATAATGTGTCCCTCTCAATAACTTGTGTGAGAAAGAACACTACAGCAATGTACCTTGACTTTGAACTCAGCTAATCTTGGTATTGGCATGCCTATGTTAGCTAGCAATTACATCCGTAAGGGTATTACGGTGCATTTACAAAGTGAAAATGGTGTCTTAGGACTGGTAAGTATTAGTGGAACTGTTTGTTTGGGACTACCAGTATTCAGTGTAGTAATTAGTGTACAATTATTTATTTTCACTGGCATTTAATTTCACTACAGTATTTGCTCTATTACAAGTGCATCTCCAACAGAAGCACATATAGGCCATCAGTTCCATAAATAGAATACTAGATTATTAAAAAATTACTTGATATTTTGAGCATATTCACTGGATTTAATTTCTCAAATTTGTATTGTTAGTTTCCATGTTCACATGGATTTAACTTTGTGAATTTTACTTATCAGCCAAAAATTTTAATTGAATCCCAGCAAATATGTCATGTTTTCCCAGTATCACAAATATAGTTTGTCGTTTTTGGACGTGGTCATGTGACATTTGATCATCTGGCTTTCACACATTTGGTACTAAACCGTCCTGTTTTGCTTAAAAATACTGATATGCAGGATTCGTAAGATAAAGGTATGCAACTCTGATGTATGTCCAGTAATATACATTGAAGATTTAACATTAATTTTTTCTGACCAATAGCTTGGAAAGTTTTGTTTGTCTGAACAGAAATTATGGAGACTATAGAAGTATTTAATAACCCTAATTCACGATAAACATGATATTATTCCGGGTGTAAATTTCAGTTTCTCACTTCAGAACCTTGTCAATGTCCTTGGCTGAGAAGTCAGAGGTATACAAAGTAATCATTATAATCATTAGCCAGTATATCTTAGATACCAGTAAGTAATTATTGTGTGACAATATTAAACATATAAAATACATAAAATGGCTGCAGGTTTTAGGTTCTTTGTTCTTTTTTGCCAGGGACCCTTTCCAAGAGAAGGAGAACAGGATCCTGATTTGATCAATGCCGGTAAAGAGACAGTAACCATCATTCCTGGATCTTCTTTCTTCTCAAGTGATGAATCTTTTGGTATGATTAGAGGGTAAGAAATAAAGAGTTATGTACTAGCTGCGTCAACTCTAAAAATTGTCTTGCTGAGTGAAAGACCGTTTGGAATGCATGTGAGGTTTGTTTTGACTTGTCTAACAGTATTGATGATGTGCAGGTAATGGTGGCCATTTTCGGTGTTGGTAGATTATGACAAATCGTTTTACCTAAAAACCCTCAAATAAGAGCCACTTTGTAACACTTTCATTTCTGGGTGGTGCTTATTTGAGGTAACATTTTGACAACTTTGTAGCCAGTGGCTCTTAAGCCAGGGTCATCAAACTTTTTCATTGTGAGATAGGGAAGGGGATAGGCAAACACATACACAACCAAAACAGACAAGTAATTATTAATGATGTATCATTGCAATTAATTTATTCTGTAAAAAACACTGTTATTGGAATAACAAATGTCAAATAAATAAGAGAAAAAATATGCCAGTTAAAAATGTTTGTAAACAACTGACACAGGAAAATACTGACATTGAAATGAAAATATAAAAAATGAAATGGATATTAAATAGCTTGTAAATTATTTACATGAAAAAATATGAAGTTTGATAATAAAGTAACCAAAAAATTCAGTGTCAGTAAAAATGTTTGTAAACAACTGACACAGGAAAATACTGACATTGAAATGAAAATATAAAAAATGAAATGGATATTAAATAGCTTGTAAATTATTTACATGAAAAAATATGAAGTTTGATAATAAAGTAACCCAAAAATTTCAGTGCCAGTAAAAATGTTTGTAAACAACTGACACAGGAAAATACTGACATTGAAATGAAAA